GGGCGCCCTCGCACTTCTGACTTCGGAGGTGCCCTACCCCATGGCGGTCCGACCACTTTCGCCTGCGACATCCTCGCAACAGCGGCTTCCGAGACGCCTATAGCTGACCTCTTCAGGCCACTTTCGTCTGAGACAACGACCTCGCATATGCCCTGCCCCAAGTTGGTTCGGCCACTGTCGCCTGAGACCCTCGCAGGCCCTGCGCTACCCGCGCAAAGCATCGCGCGCGGCGGGAGATGCTCGGACCCGTGCGGGACTCCGTCCGCGCCAGAGATTCAGGCTGATCAAGCCGAGCCGCCCCAGAGCGGGGTGCGCCGCCCGCGCCAGAGCCAAACACAAAACTCACGCCGTCGCCGTCGCCGTCGTCGTCGCGGCGGGGGACTGACAACCAGCCGATAACCCGATAAACCGATAAACCGATATGCGGCACAAGGATCGCCTCCACAGGTTCCCCCCCAGCGGTCTCAGACCAGCCAGTCAACCGATGAACCGATAAACCGATAAACCGATAAACCGACGAAGAGAGGGGGGCGCGCCAGCAATCGCCTCTATGTTCGCATACGAAGATTATCGTTTTTTCGGTTGAGCGACCGATCCACCGATAAACCGATCAAATTATATCGTTTTTTCGGTTGATCGGTTTGCAAACCGTTCAACCGATTAGTTTTTATCGGTTGATCGGTTTATCGGTCGGATGGATTTCCGGAAGCCGCTGCCGCTGCATTCGGTAATCCCCAAACGTGGTGGACAACACCTGGCGGTGAGTCTCGGGCGATTTGGTGTCACCGCCCAGTTTTGGGACTCGTGCGGTTTTCCGATGTCCCGAACACTGGTGGGTCCAGGAGTCACAAAACCCGGTGGTGACCCCGTGTCCCCAAATCCAGCGGTGACCTTTTTGGGGATTCCAGGTCGCCACCTGGTATCTCACCACCCGGTTTGGGGGTTCCCAAGAATGGGCGGATTGAAAACAGCATCGTGCTTTTTCAATATGCCACCTCAGAGGGCCAAGGGTCGAGAATCGAAGCCTTGGAAAGTTGGAAGCCCCATGGTTCTCTCCTCTTGGCGTAATCTTAGACCAGCTGAGCCGTTTTGGGCGCTCTTGAGACCGAAAAGGCGGCTGTGGTAGAATCACACAGTACAGTCAAAAAACCCTAATGAGGACGCGCGACTTTGCTCAGGGTACCCTTGCGTCCTTGCTCGGGGTACCCTTACCCAGGTCGTCCGCCGCCCCACGAATCCCAACTTCGGTTTCCAAGGGTCTTGTGTCCTTACCGCGCGTCCTTTTTGGGATTTTTGATTGTACTTTTGAATATTCCACCTCGGATGGCCAAGGGTCGAGAACTGAGGCCTTGAAAAGTTGAGAGCCTCATGGTTCTCTCCTTTGATGTTTGAATCCAGAAGGTGCCGGGAGAATGGCAGATTGAACAAAAAGCACCGTACAGTCAAAAACCCGAATGAGGACGCGCGAGTTTGCTCAGGGTACCCTTGCGTCCTTGCTCGGGGTACCCTTGCCCAGGTCGTCCGCCGCCCCAAAAATCCCAACTTCGGTTTCCAAGGGTCTTGTGTCCTTACCGCGCGTCCTTTTTGGGATTTTTGATTGTACTTTTGAATATTCCACCTCGGAGGGCCAAGGGTCGAGAACTGAAGCCTTGAGAAGTTGAGAGCCCCACGGCTCTCTCCTTTGATGTTTGAATCCAGAAGGAGCCGGGTACCAGATTGGAATGTTCAGAGATGCATCTTTCAATCTGAAAAGTTCCAGATTGAAATGTTCGATGTTCAATCTTTGAATCCCAAGAGTCCAGGATTGAACTTTCAATCTCTACAGGTTGGGTTCAATCCGCTTTCAATCATAAAAACTGCTTCAACTTGTCAACTGTTGAAAAGCACAACGATGGCGCATCTAACAAATAGTTTGGAAATTGCTTCAACTTTCAATACTGAAAAGCAACACAATAGTTTGTCTAACAAATCTCTCGCACAGACCCAAGGATTTCCGAAATCCGGCAATACCCTCACAGCATTGAAAAATGCGTTTTCTGATAAGTGTCCGTATTATCAAGCGTTCCGATATTGAGTTGCGTGCCAGTTTATTTTTGACGAGACTTGTAGGGCCGTCTTGGAGGCATTTCGTGTTCCTGTCTGAAGCCTCGGGGGCCGTCTTGGCGTAATCTTGGACCAACTGAGCCGTTTTGGGCGCTCTTGAGACCGAACAGGCGGTTGTGGTGGAATCACACAGAAGTTCACGACATAACTTCCTGGCTTCTCAGCGATGCTGGCCTCCTGGGCCGGCCCCGACATGCTCCAAGATGGCCCGAAAGGCCCACCGAGAGAGTCCGTGGGCGGGCCCCTGAGACAATGCGAGCGGGTATGCTGGAAGGTTGGACTCTAAACCACGCCCCCAGGCATCGGGAAATGGTACAGTCAGGCTTGGTACCTCCGAAGTGCCCCTGAGTCCAATGCCTGCGGGCAGACGGGGCGGGACCCACCTTGAGATCCGGTGGGATCGGACTCCTTTGGAAACGCATGGAAGCCCAAAGCCCACAGGGGAGTCTCAAGGGCGCCCTCGAGGGCGCGAAGTTATTCGCGCTTCGCGGTTCGGCTCCGACTCCTCCTCATCCTCCTCTTCTCCCCTGTGAGGCGGCGCAAGAGCGCGAAGTGATTCACATTTCGCGCTTCGCGCAGCGCGAAGCGCGAAGTTGGGAGCCTTTGGAGCCTGGACTCGCGTGGACAGCGGGCGGATCGGGTCCAGTCCGCCGGGTGGCCCGGAGCGTCCAGGAGTCCAGCGAGTTGGGGGTCCGAGGGTCCTTCTCAACGTTGAGGGTTCTTGAGGATCTAAGGTTAAATCGGGCCTGTCCCTCTACAGGAGGAGTATTCACAAATAGTAAAACAATGGTCTGGGGAGTATTTCTAATTTTTCGCTCAAAATCCGCATGTAGGGGGACACGCCCGACCCAAAGCTAAGGACATTCCACCTAGCGCGTCGCGGCACTGGCGGATATTAAGCCAGACCTCTAGGATGGTCGAGCTGATGCGCGCTGGCACTGGGCAGAGTTCCTCATTGCGCAGCGCTCGCAGTCGTCTTCGACTCTAGGTCCCGATACAGGGGATTGCGCTGCGGTCCTTCATCACCGTCATGTTTTTAATCATACCCACGTGCATCATGTTTGAGCTGCACTGGGAAGGCCCGCCGAGCGCGCAGCCCAGATCAATGAGATCAGTGGTCGGCAGATCCGCGTCTCTCGTTCGCTTGCCTATTACCGCTTACTTCCACGTCCTCCCAACAGTGGGTCCAGTGGACATGCGTCTCTCGTTCGCTTGCCTATTACCGCTTACTTCCACGTCCTACCAACAGTGGGCCCAGTGGATCTGCGAGGCTTCGACGAAGAAGCGTCGTGCAGCACTACGGTACCGGTGCCGGTGGGCTCGATCAGCCCGCCGAGACGTTGAGAGCGGGCCGTCGGCAGGCCGCCCCGAGCTCGTTGAGGGAGGCCGGGTGTGGCCTGGTGAGGGCACTCCAACCTCGCCTCAGCCCCAATACCCATCGGTCGTTGAAAGTAGGTATTTTGGGAGTCCCAGGTTCCAATCTATGTTAAGCGCCTTCCTACTTCAACGATCGAGTGGCTTCACCTTTTCCGTCCTCTTCAGGGGGCGGGCGGAACCCAACCTACTTCCAGCGCCTTCCTACTTCATGTTTCTACCTACGTCGGCCGACCGATGGGTACCGTCGTGGACTGCGTGCACTTCCCCATCGGTTTCGTTCTGGTCTGGGCGTGGACTGGGCGCTGGCTGGGCGCCGCTCTGGGCAGGCAGCAGTCCCCACAGCACACGGGTTGGCGAGGCCTGGGAGGGGAAGAGCCTGGGCAAAGAGGAGCAGGCTGCCCATCGAGAGGGGAGGATAGAGACCATGTCAGAGTGTGTTGCAGGGTATGCGCTCCTTTGAGCAGTTGAGCCGCCGCCCGACATCCCGAGGACCCCGCTTGCCCCAGCGGACTACCCCCCCCCGGGTGTCCTCGAGCATTTCCACACGATCGCCCTCGGCCCCGGGCGAAGTCCCCTGCGGCTGGGGCGTTGGCCAGGGAGCGCAAGAGGGGTCACTGGCCACGGCACGCCGAGAATGCAGGGCGCATTGGCCTCGGAGCTCCACGAAGAGGACAAGGATGAGCATGAGCCAGAGGTGGAGGAGAGAGAGTGGTCGTTCGAGGAGGAGGAGGAGGAGGAAGAAGAAGAAGAAGAAGAGTGGTAGTTGGAGGAGGAGGAGGAGGAGGAAGAAGAAGAAGAAGAAGAGGTGGAGAAGGGCGAGAATGAAGGTGAACAGGCGGACGAAGGCCATGAGAGGAGGAGGAGGGAAAGGAGGAGGAGGAGGAGGAGGAGGAGGAGGAGGGGGAGGAGGAGGAGGGAAAGGAGGAGGAGGCGGAGAAAGAAGCGTGAAGGTCACGGGGGATTCTTCCCGCATCCTCCCCCCCCCCATCCCGAGCCTCCGAGCGTTCCTCTTGGCCCCGTGGGCTCCGGTGCCTCCCCAAGACTGCCGAGGCACATGGTAGGACACCAGGGGCAAGAGCTGGAGGGAAGAAGCAGCAGCACAACGAGGAGAATAAGTGAAGCAGCAGTAGCAGGTGGAGGACGAGGAGGAGGAGCAGGAGGAGGAGGAGGAAAAGAGGGATAGGACGAGAGGAGAGGAAGAAAGGGGGAGGGGCGAGGGTGAAGGATACATCGGGAAACGGTCGGAGTAATGTAGGCGAGAGAGAGAGAGAGAGAAAAAGAAAAGAGAGAGAGAGAGAGAGTGCGACATAGAAAGAAAGAAAGAGAGAGAGAGAGAGAGAGAGCGAGAGAAAGAGAGAGGGACGAAGGACGGGAGGGATAATGTGGTGTCGCGGGAGCGAAAGGCTCAGGTGGAGGGGAGAGCAGAGCGAGGAGTGCACGAACCCCCCCCCCGCGTGCACTGCTTGCCCCCGCCGCCCTAGTG